TGGGTCATAAAGAGTCTTTTATCTGAAGTTTTAAAGCTTTGCTTTGTACATTTTAGTCTTTAATATATCCGGAATTTACTTTTGTATATGGTACGAGGTAGAGATCTAATTTCATTGTCTCTTTTCCATGTAGATAACTGGTTGTCCCAGCACTGCTACCCTTTTGTCTGATTTGTAATGAGGCCACCTCTGTGATGTACCAAGACTTTTCTGTGTGCTTGGGTCCACTTCTGGGCTCAGTAATCTGTTCTCTTGGTCGGTTTGCTACCCCTGCGTCAGACCCACAGTGTGTTTCTAGTACTTCATGCAAATACTTTAATAAGACACATCTTATTGTCACCTTTTTCAAAACGGTTCTGTTCTTGATTCACTCTTAAAGATAAATTATACAGTTGGCTTGCCACATTCTGTAAAAAATCCGATCTTACAGTTTTGACTGGCATTACATTTTTTCATTACGTTTTATTCATAGATTACTTTGGAGAGAATTAACTGCCTTTCAGTTCATGAACATGGTATATTTCCTTTATTCAGGTCTTCCACAGTGGCCTTTCAATAATGTTTCATAATTTTTCCAAAAGGTATTGGGTATCTTTTCTTAGACTTGTTCCTCGGTATGTTATCTTGCTTTTATGAATAGTATTTTCTAGTTGGTTATTTCTGGCATGTACCATCAAAGCACTTCCCTCTAGCCCTTTATGAACGTGTTATTTTTTTCTCTTCCAGTAGATGGCAGTAAAATACATTAAGAGTTCATTATTAAGAATCGATTTTCAGTGGTGTCTTATTTTTTCCACTAAATTTAAAATTATTTATTTCAAAGGTATTCTGCAATATTTCAAAATCATCTCACTCTGCTCCATACAGGAGGATAAAAAGAAGCGTGATCGGGACCGTGTGGAGAACGAGGCAGAGAAAGACCCCTCGTGCCAGGCCCCCGTGGGATTAGACGTGCCTCCTGAGAAGCCTCTCGCAGGCTCTTTAGCCAAACAAGAAGGTTGGAATAACTGAGTGACCTGCCCTGAATGAGGAGGCTGAAAGTATTTTAAACATCATAGCCAGAGAAAGTGACTGGGTTTTTATCTTTTAAGTGAAAGTTTAAAAGCTTTTTAATTGAAATATTTTTGTTTTCTTATTTCTCTCACTGCATAGGAGCTTTAAATTAGCTTCAGTTTTAAATTGATATTCTCATACTTTAATATATTTGTAAGAAAAATGAAATTTCTGTATGAGATACTTAATGATGGATAAGGGATAAGTTATAGGAAGAAAATAGGCTAAAGAATACTCTCTAGAATCTTTTTTAAACACTCTTTTACTTTCTTCTTTAGAAGTGGAACAGACACCCCTTCAAGAAGCTTTGAATCAATTGATGAGACAATTACAGAGGTAAATGTTTTTTCCATTATTTTTATAACATGGAAATTGAAATGAGAAATACAGAATCCAAACCACTTCTCTCTTTTTTGATTAGTTAAAGCCACATTTCGTGGCCTAAATCCAAATGTACTTGATTTTAAAGTGGATGATAAATATTTTGCCTGGCAGTAGAAGTACTCCAAGAGGCTGACTTTTAGATGTTCTCGTTTGATTTGTTTTAACTGGCAACTTGAAGAGTGTTACATAACACTCTTTAAATGGCAGATTTCTTTTTCATTTTAAGTAACTTCTGATGTTAAAGCTTTAAACCAGAAATAAACAATACAGATATTTCCACTCTGCTGATAGATGAAAATACCATTTGTATATTTGTGCATTGCTTATGCTGTGAAAATTCAACAAGTCTAGAGAAGAGACAAAATACTATAAACAGGGTTTGTGACCCTCTTAAATGTAGAAATTTGTGCTAATATTTTTAATATCTAGATTAAACCAATGGTAAGTTCTTAAAAGAGAAAAAATAACTCAGTCTTTATTAAAATATTTATTTTGATACCTCTCTTTACTCACAATTTAAATTTTTAGCTCAAAGACATTTACATTATTTGCAGAGGATTCATGAGTATAGGGCATGCATTCTAATAGTCAACTTTCTTCTCACTGTGTTATACTCACATGTCAACCCTAGAACACATCATAAATGATATTTTAAGGTAAAACCTCTAGTGAATCTGTGCTCAACACCTATTCATCTTTACAGTTAAGATCAGAAGTTAGTGGCCTCTCTTTGTTTACAGAGTAGTTGAGAAAATTACTTCTAAAGTCTTCATACTTGAATAAATAATTTGTTACCTGTCCAAAAGAATGGACACACAAGCATTAGACATTTCAACTCAATTAGAATGTATGACTGTAGAGTGTCTTGGCTGTCTTTATTTCTAGAAACTTAAGACCGGAAAGTAGATTAAAGACGTCACCTTAAAAGAAATTCACTTAAGAAGGTCTCTCTTAGTCCAGGGATGTTCACATCGCTCAGAACATTTTGGGAATTAGAGTGCACAGCCACATTTTTTTTTTTTAATAGCCTTAGTAATTGGATGATTCTTCTTCATCTTTGAGGCTCAGTGCTAATGCTGAAAAAGAGAGTAATTGATCAAGTTTAGTGATACTGTTTGTGGTCAGACCAAGTGGGACTCAAAATGACTCATTTTAGGGCATGCAGCTAATTTGCTCTGCAGAGGTCCTCCAGAGATAATCAGTGTTGTTATTCATAGTAACTATTGTGGCTAGCATGCATTTGCATGGATACGTTCCAGACTGGATATTTTTGCTTATTCTCATTGTTTTTTAGTCTCACTGCAAGGAGGCATCCTGCTGGGAAGAACAAAGGCATATTCATATATTCTTGAATTCAGATTCCTACTCTGTCTTTTATCAGACTTACGACCTAGAACAAATGATTTGACCTCTGAGCCTTTGTATCCTTATCCCTAAGTGACAGTACCGCCACCTGGAGGCTTTTGTGTGAGTTAGCTATGAAATGTCAGATACCTACCACTGGGCCTCGCACATGGTAAATACATTTTAAAAGTTGTTTAAACCATTTTTTATTGGTATGCCAAATTTCTAGAAGAAAAACATCAATCCAACGACCTCTTTATACAGAACAGTGATTCTCAACCCTGTCAGTACTGAAAATACTAATGCCAAGAGCTCAGATGCAGTACCAGTACTCAGCCCTAGAAATACCGGTGCCTGGACTCACCCTCCTTTCCCAAGGGATTCTGATGTTGTGGGTCGAGAGTAAGCCTTCCCCCACCGCACTGGAACTTTCCCAAAGCTCCTCTAACGATTCTCATGCACAGTCGAAGTTGACCTGTGATAGAAAGCAGTGGTTCTCAAGTTTGGGGCTGTTTAGAGGACCTTTTTGATGTCAGTTTTCTGAGCACCCCCTTCTACACACACACGATAGAAGTCGTATCTATTCAAAAAACATATATACTCACATGGATGCAGTAATCGTGTGGCCCACCAAGAGCCCAAGCCTATAGTTAGAAACCCATATAGACAATTGCACATGTGCATTTAGTTGTTATTTCTGCCTTTTTCCCTAGAGTTGATAAAAATACATAATTCTAATCGCCCAAAGGCCAAGATATTAGCCAGTTAGGCTAGTTTTTGTTTGTTTGTTTGTTTGTTTTTCCCCTATGTGGGAGGTGCTACTAATTAATTAGGCTGCATATTTTAAAAGATTCTGTCTTAAGAGAGTATAGTTAGTAGGTAAAGCATCTTAACCTTCTTGCTAAGAAGTTATTAGTCTTTCAAGTTATTCCTTCAATTTTCAGTGGAAAACATGGCAGCATACTACGAATTCTTTCTGCATCTGAAGGGTTTCCTCTGACTTCTGCTCCTAGAGCAGTAGATTTGTTTGTAGTAAAAATAAAACTGCCTTTTTCATATCTTCACAGAAAAGACCCAAGTGCTTTCTTTTCATTTCCTGTGACTGATTTCATTGCTCCCGGCTACTCCATGATCATTAAACACCCGATGGATTTCAGTACCATGAAGGAAAAGATCAAGAACAATGACTACCAGTCCATAGAGGAGCTGAAGGTGACTCTAGTTCTAATCTATGTTGTGTTTGGACAAATAAGAGCTGTGGCACAAAATGACATCTTCACCCATTCGAGAGGCAGACTCGTGGGTCCTAGACACGGAGTCATGGTGGAAACCTGCACGTCTACACCCAGTCTTTCTGACTGAGCTTTTGTTTTTCTAAGAATTAAGTTTCTTTTAATCTCCAAAATCTTTGTATTTTTCTGTCTTCGAAAACATTTTTGAGCTTGGGGGTACTAAGCCAGATGAAATAAGCCATCCGATATCTTTTATTATTTTTTGTGTTTTAGTAAAATTTTGAATCTCATACATTCTAATACATATTTTCCCAACCTTTAAAATGAATTAAAATGATTTTTAATTTCAGATCAGTACAGGTAAAATTGACTTTTTAATGAAATCGAATTTATTTTTCTAGACATTTTAAGGTGTGCCTTTTTTCTAAAAGAGAATAAATTGGCTTGTCCAGAAATACTGAACAGAAGTTTAATTACATTTTTCAGTTTGATGCACATCACTTGCTCCTTGAATTCACTTCAACTGTATTTGTTGAGCGTATTTCCTTTGACTTTAAGAAGGAAATTAAAAGCAAAAGTAAGGAACCTACAAGCTACCAAGGTGATGTTATAGTCAAATGACTAATGTTATAGTCAAAGTTTTTTCCATCTTTAAATAGTCTTGTTATATGTTGATTACAGAGGTGATACTTTCATTTTAATCTTCCCCGAAAACAGAAAATGTTTTTTGAATTTGCTTTGTACCAAACCACCACAAACTTAGATAGTTTAGATAATATTTATTTTTCCTTTATCTTTTCTGCCTGAACATTGTAGTGCTCACCTGACCTGAGGGCTACACCCTAGTCAGCTACAAAAAGACAGCAAGACAGTAAACGTTCTCTTCACTCGGTCTGTTTTTTTCATCCACATGTCAATCAGCTGAGATTTATGAACAACACCAACATTTAATTTTACTATCACTTTGAATGTATAGATAATATTCTACTTACTCTGAAAAACCTGAATTACATTCTCATGTAGTCAGACAAATGGAAACTTTTACCAGCGTTTCATATGGTGAAAATTAGGCTAGAACTGTTTATTTCAGCATATTTCTGACCTTATTATTGCTTAATGGAAAAAAATCTTAGCAGTGTTGTTTTTTCTTTTTGTGAAGTTTCCCTCTGGTCTCTTATGATGACAGGAGAGAGAAGTGTGCCCCCTAAGTGTTTTTAAGCAAACGGTTCAGGTTTATCATAATTGAAATGAACGGGTATTTTTGACTCTTTGGCGTTTTCTCCATTACTACATTTTTTTTCAGTAGCTCAAAGTAATATTTATTAGCTTATCCAGCTCATTAGGCTGTTCAAGTTTTTTTTTTTAATTACGTGAAAAGTATGCAGAAAGGTCATTCAGCTTTTCAGATGACCAAGTGCCATTACACAGAAGTCCAGTAAAGCCTAGCACGTGACAGTTAAGGTGCCTGGAATCTGCAGATTGCGTTAACGGATCAGACCTGTGATCAGCAGGATCATCCGGCACTCTCGCCAGTTACAAATCCAGTGGTCGTTTGGCGTCAGTCATCTGTCTGCCTTCACACACTCACCTCTCTTTTCCCCAAATACATATTTCTTAATGGAACGGGAGCTTTTCAGAGTGTCTGTACCAAGTGTACTTAACCTTTGGGTTGCCATGAATGAGCCTTTAAGGGGACCAGGAGCCTGCTAAAATCACATGAAAAATTTTGTGCTCAGCTGTGTGTGCGTGTGCGTGTGCGTGTGCACGCGTGAAGAAAGAGTGAGTGCGTAGCTCTCATCGCATTCTTAGAGACCAGGACCTTGCAAAGTCCTGACTGATCAGAGCCTTGGCCAGGGACTGAGGATCCACGTGTGTTTCACCACTTTAGTACCCACTTTATTGTGGGCCTTGGTAGATGCTTTTAAATCATGTTCAGTCTGCTTATTTTCATTCCATTTAAGTGTTCTCAGCCGTCGTCACAAATTATCAAATAGTGTGGTTTGAATGTTTTGATTTGGAGAAGTTTTTTGTGGGGGAGTCAGATTCTTTTTTTGTTTGGTTTTTATCATTTTAACTTAGTAAGGCCTTGGAATAATCACTCTCACATTTATACAATATAGAAATTACTCAACCGTGAAAATATGCAGTGGGATTGCATTCTCCAGCACATGTGTGTACTTTGAAATTTAAACCAAAGTATAGTTTTGATCATTTGGCTACTCCATTTACACGTTTTAACTCTTTGAGGTTGTGTGGTTTCTTCCCATTGGCGTGATGTTTTAGCATTCTGTAAGTTATGTTTAGCTTATGATAGCTCCCAAACACGTAAAAGAAAATTAGTGTAAACGTTTTAACATTTTTGCTCAATTCAGTTTTTATAGGAAATATTGTGGTAATTTAGCACTGTTCCCAGTTTTCAGTCTGGATCTGAAATAAAATATTTAATTCATAAATGGAATCTTAAGATGTTAGTTTTAAAGCTAAGAGTAAAATTTTTTAGTTAGATGAACTACTCAGTTAAGATTTTTCTGTTAAAAATAAGATAGAAGTATTTTCTTCTAATTTTTTTGTATGCAATAAGATTATACTGAAGAAACCAATTTAAATATTTCATTTTGGTATCAAGTCCATATATAGTTACCATAAAATGTTTAAGAAGTTGGAAAAGAGTAGAGTAGAATATTTAAATTAATTTAGCAATATCTGTGAGACTTAAAACTCATACATTGCTATTAATGTTTAGTAGACAGTGAAAGAAGAGTGTGCAGGGGGTTTTGTTGTTGTTAATTTTTCGAGGACCCGTATGATTTCAAATCAGAACAGGAGGGTGGTGTTCTGTTTTAATGCATTTTCCCCCTTAATATCATCTCTGCAGGATAACTTCAAACTCATGTGCACCAACGCTATGATTTACAACAAACCAGAGACCATTTATCATAAAGCTGCAAAGAAGCTGTTGCACTCAGGGATGAAAATTCTTAGCCAGGTAAAGAAAATTCTTTGTCATAAATAATAATTACGAAATTTATATCTGTTTTTTGATCCTAGTGATACAGGTCCATTCAGTATTGGTTTTATTGTATAGGCAGATCATATTAAAGTTGAAATATTAAATGAAAAAGACTTTTAATATAGAGAAGAAAAAGGAAGATTCTCATTTGGAATCAATAATGATAAACATTGGCCTTCACTCGTTACCTAGAGGCTTTTGAGTCGATACTCATCAGAGAGACTTATATTTGCTGTGACAGAAACGTCAGCCTGAATTTAGGGTGAGATGGCTTAGATGACTTACGGACCCGTTGGGAGGAAAGCTCTCTTGCCCTACGTAGGGATGGACTCTAATGCTCTGGTGAAGCATAAGAACTAGTAGAAACAGCATACTCAGATGAGAGCCATCTGGGGACTGTCTCAAGGCCACCTCCTCACGGGAGCAGGCTCTCCCGTGAAGGAGAACCGTTGCTGCATCGTAAGGCAGTTGAGGTGGGGGGGATGTGTGCAGAGGCACAGACACGTCCACGAGCTATGCGAGAGCTTAAACACGGTAACATTCCAGAAAGCTACTGTCGGTAGTGACAAAATTATGTTTGAGTGTCATCTCAAAGTGAGGACTGATGACAGACCTTGAAAGTTAAGTCGAGGTGATCACTGGGCATCTCCCAGTGAGGAGCACTCCCAATATTAGTCACATCTTCAGAGGTTTTACACACAGCTCTGAGTAGGATGGGACGTTAACCGAGACAATCCTGGTTCCTCACCACAGTGGGAAGTCGGAAGACTGAGTTCTGGTGTTAGTTTTTCCCACACACTCTGGACCTTGGGTAAGACGGTAACCACTCTGAGCTGCCATGTTGTCCTCTAGGAGAGAAGGTGTCATCTGTGCTCCCCAAGGCTGCGCTCCAGTAATGTGCTGATGACAGATAAGACCTAGCACAGGGAGGAGAATATGAAAAAGAAGACAGATAGGAGAGGGATCTTGCAAAGAAGAAATGAGTGAGCGTAAGACACGAAGATGGAGAAAGAAATCAGAGTGAAGAGCTTGAGCTCACACTTGGGATCTCCAGGGTAGGAGAAATGAGTCGTGTGTAGATGCGCGTGGTTTTCCAGCTTTTTATGGCGATCGTCTGTATCAGTTTCACATCTAAATAAGTGCCTCGGTGTGCGGATGTATGAGTGTCTGTGCTTGGCTCTGAAAGATTCTTGGATCCACTTAACTGGAGAAAGAAAAACATTTGGATTGACGCTTATTCTTACTCTCTCAGTATTTAGACAGCATCAGTCCGCACCCTTTCCTAAGGACTCAGGAATCCGAGATGTAAGCCAGTTACCCGTCTTCACAAATTGGCAGAGGAAAGGGGACTGTAACATGTTCATCCCGCTCAGGGTAGACAGACTCAATACAGAACAAGCCATGTTCCGGGTTCAAAAACCCGTGGTGCTTCTTTTTGTGTTCGAAGGGAAAACACTTCCAGCAAATGCCAGCTTTAAATATTCCAAATTAAGTACCTTAAATTTCTAGAAGACAGTTTAATGTGCAGATGTAACATTCATAGGAAATTTATCAACTTCAATTTGTTGTCTCTTTAACCGATGAAGTTAGTGTAACATGTGAAAGAGTCCAGTCTCCCTAGAATTTTACTGGGGGTGGGGTGGTTGGCAGCACAGAAAATAAACTTTCTTCTCCACGCTCCCTCTTCTCTCTGTTACCTTCCTTTTTTTCAGATCTCTTCCTGTTGAGGAGCCCTACCCATCCTGTGTTATAGCTTCCTGTTGCCTGTTCTCTCCACCCTGGGCGGGAGGGGTCCTTACAACAGTGACTTTTAAATGTTTAAATTTAGATCTGCATTACCTCCTGCAATAGCAGTGCTTCCAGGAGAGCCCAGCACACCCTTCCCTGAATGGTGTCTTTTAAAATAACTGTTTTTGAATGTTCAGTGTAAAGATGGTAGAGCAGTCTTTCATCTTGTTCAGTGACACAAGTAATGACCATTAGTAGACATGTTATAAAGAGTGCGCATATGTAGACTAACTCTTTTGATCTCCTAAATAAATACAAGGATGCATTATGGTACAAACAAAATAGGACACACGCTGTTCATAGCACGGTGGCTTTGAAGTGAGACTAATGAAGGTTCAAGTCCTGGCTCTGCCTTTGTGATGCCGTGTGACCTCGGGAAGATGGGATGGTAGTGTCTCCCTCAGTGACCGATGCCTGGTATGTGGGTTGCACTCAGGTGTTAACTGTTGTTGATGACGAGGAATCAGGCCCTTTAAGTCATTTAATATTGTAAAACCGAGGATTGATAAACAGTATGCTGATTCGGAGACATTTTAATTACCAAAAAAGAAAAAGGTATTGCTTCCAGAAGAAAATAAATTAAATTCATCTTTTTCTTCTTGTGTCAGAATTTAGAAACTCTCTCTCATTATTTTAATTTTGTGCATGCTGTGTTTTTAAAAAAAATGTTTTTAATGTAGGTTCTGCTTTATAAAATTCTAAAGTGGAAATAAAAAGATTACTGAGAACTTTGGGGTCTGAGCCCATTTCCCTAACCAGCATTTCTTGAGCAGCTACGTGCCAGCCGGTCTCGCTTACTAGAGCAGGAGAGGGGCGAGGGAGGAGTGGCCGGGTGGTTCCCATCGCAATGGGACTCGATCAAGAAACAATTGCAGAAATAATGACACGAATGTTTTAGAGTTTGTATTAAAATAAGACACGTTTTTAAAAATCATGTTGGCAGATTTTTTTTTTAAATGGTACTGTTCATTTGGCCAAGAAACTTTCAGACACTAATGTATAAGTTGATACAACTTTTCTGGAAAGCAGTTTGGCAGTAAATATCAAAAGCCCTAAAAATACTCATTCCCTTTGACCTACCTGTTTCCATTTCTAGGAATTTATCCTAAAGAGAGATTCCTAGAGAGATTTATGTGCAGTAGTGTTCATGAGACTGGTATCTGTGAGAGTGGAAACTTGGAAATAATCGAAATGTCCAGTTAAATCATGGTGCATGCATAGGATGGAATACTTACCATGCAGTTATTAAAAACATTTTAAAGAATGTTTAATGATGGGGGAATACTTGTAGTTTATTAACTGAAAAAAGTGCTTGTAACCAAATACACAGTATAATTCCATTTTGTCGATATGTATTATGCTTAGAAAAATACTGGGACGATAAACCTGTTAACACTATTCCTCCCGAGATAATACATTAACAAGGCTTTTATTTTCTCTGCTCACATCTTTGTCTACAATAAAATGTGTTACTTTAATAGCTTTAAGATTACTTTAAAATGAAAGTTCAGTAAAAAGAACGGTGCGTGTTCTGGAGGCTCCCGCAACCTGCGCTACCGACACAGTAGCTCTGCCGAGAAAGGGCCTGGTCTTAGTTACGGTCCTGTGACCTTATGTGAGTCACTTAGCATTTCTGGGCTACATTGTTCTTCTTTGAATGACCTCCGATCCTTTCTAGTTGTAGTTTCTGTTATTCTGCAAAGTCTTCCCTGCTGTTGCTATGCAGCCCTAAGGAGCCGGCAGCACTCCAGCATCCTATGCAGTGACAGCGCTCAGAGTTCAAAGGCAGAGTCGTCACTGGGAACGAATCTGCCTCCAGAAGCCTCAGGCCCTTAACCACACAGAAAATCCCACAGTGCATCTCAGTGTTTCACAAAATAGAAACAAGATTCTTTGGTTAGAAGAACTGTGACGGGCTCTGAGAGGAGCTGTACCGGTAGCAACCTCGCATTCTCCTGAGACACGTCACACAAAAACACCAGTCATCAGTGATCAGCCTAGGGCACCAGAATGTAAGGGACTTGATGGTGTTCACCTGCTCTAGGTTTTAAAATACCTGATAATTCTTAAATATTTCGAAAGATAAGCCATTTTTTTAAATATAAAATTTTAACATACTATTAAACCAATTTTTACTTTTTAAATTTAGTATTGCAAAGAATTGTCTTTATTCATACTTTCTTTTTTATGAACTTTTTGATGACGCAATAAAGTTATAAAGTATTCTCTTACGTAGGAAATGAAGTCATCTGAATTGAAGGAAGAGATTTATTGTCCTGGTTCTTAAATATAATACTCTTGGTATAATTACAATTAACTGTTTTTCTTCCCTAGTTGACGACAGGGTTAGTGCAAGCTCTTGTGAGGAAAAAAATGAATTACTTTAAAAATTAATGACAAAAGTACAACAAGAATATTCTTGAATGTTTTTAGGAGAGAATTCAGAGCCTCAAGCAGAGCATAGACTTCATGGCAGACTTGCAGAAAAGTCGAAAGCAGAAAGACAAAGCAGACGCCTCACACGGCGGAGGGGACAGAGGCTGCTGGCCTGCAGAGAGAGAGGACGCTGGCTCTGCTGAGGCGCAGGCCTTCAAGAGGCCCAATAAGGACGACAAAAAGTAAAGAGTCTCTGAGATGTTGAGGTTAAGCTGTCTCGTTCGAGCTAGTAAGGGGGAAAAATACCGATTTAGTGCCTGCCTCAGCAGGACCAAGCCCTGGTCAGCCCGTGGTGGTTTGGGGCGTGGAAGTCCATTTCGGGGATGTGATGCCCTCTTCTCAGTTAAAGCACCGTGTGGAATCGTCCAAAAATAGTTCAGAAAACAGTTCTGAATGTGTATTCGTATGAAAGTACTTTTAGAACCAGTAAATTATCTTTAGGGACTCATATTGTCAGTGAGTTTATTTAAATAGAGCTATTTGCATAGGGAAATATGCATATTCATTACCACATTCCATAATGGAGTTGAGACAGTAGTTAAGCCTCAGCATAGTTAAAGCTACTTCCAAAACAGATGGGCTGTCACTGAGCTCTGTGCGTGTTCCCCACTGGACGTCAGCTGGCAGGAACAGTAGCTTACCGCTGGCCCTGCCAGGCGGCAGCCGGCATGGCTGGATGTAGCCGTGGGTGTCCTCCCCCCCTACCCCATACCACTGACTGCCGGCCCTGGTGCCAGCTCCCTGCTGTCAACTGCAGAAGAGGGTTTTAGTTACTAGCATTTGGAATTCCTCCGTCTTAAGGCAAATTGACGAGTTTTTGTTCTAAGATTTATACATTTTAAATTTATTTTAAATTTAAATTTTAAAATCACACTTTAAAAATAATCGTGTTCTTCTCCCTTCAATATATATTTGTAGTAGAATTCATTTTTGTGAATGTACTGGGAATGTTTCAGGCAAACAACCCTGGACGCCCCTGGAGGAGACCAGCACGCACGTTCGGTCTGCCTTGCTGTCTGCGGCATTCGGGGCCCTTACTGGGCATTAAGGGACAAAGTTTAGTTGGTGACGGGGGTGCATGGTTCCACTATAGTTGTAGTCATATTTGGAATCCATTTTAATGTTTTCACCTTATCTTTTTTTGTTGTTTTTTACTTAGTATTAATGTGTGTTTTCAGGAAAGACAAAGAAATGCTTGAAGATAAACTGAAGAGCAATAATCTAGAAAGGGAGCAGGAACAGCTTGATCGCATCGTTAAGGAATCTGGAGGGAAGCTGACCAGGCGGCTGGTTAATAGTCAGGTGATGGGGCTTTTTCTTTTCACGACCTACTGATTCAGGTTGTCTGAACTTTTAGTTTTTAAATTGCTTGTGTACTTTTTATCCATATCTGCCATAATGGTCTTTAGCACAACACTCGTAGAAGAGAAATTAATAATATATTTATTTGTAAATTAGATAATCTTATCTATTACTGGATTTTTTTTTTAGTGAAGTTAATGTTTTCTAAACTTGGAAAATGAACTTACTTTACTTTAAGCTTATAAGAAACTATAAGCTGTGCTTTTGAAATCATATTTTTCAGGACATTGGTTTTAAAACCAAATAGATTAATATATGACTTTGGGCAGGTCACCCCCCTCCCTGGTCTTTGGTTCCCTCCATTTTAAATGGAATAGGCAGAGCTAGATGACCTTCAGGACCCACACAACTCTGTAAAATTCTGAGGTTTTTCTAACCATTTTTGGTAGCCCATCAGCACCTGTATATATGGAGATAGGTGTGAAGGTCAGTGTCTAGGTGTAATGACGATAGCCACCTATGATAGTTTGATTCAACTGAAGTAAGGCTTTTCAGTGCGACGTGTGTATGTGTGCGTATATGTATAGAGCCGTTTATGCCACGTGAATACTTTGGGTCACTGCAGTGTGAATTTGAAAGAAGAAAACCAGATGGAACAACAACGCTGGGCCTTCTCCACCCTGTGGACCCTGTCGTAGGAGGTAGGTTCACAGAATTAGACTTGTGCGTGAACTCGCTTGCTTTGGGGTAAAGAGCAATACCTTGCATTAACATTTAAAGCAACAAGCCCGATTATTGGTAAATCCAACTGTATCATTATCTATAAAGGACTTGGCTAGACATTGTATATTTCATGTTAACAGCTAGCCTTACTTTTCTTTATCCTAAAGTAGGTACTAACTATATAGATCAAGTTTTCTTTAAAATACAGAATCCTTGGAATATCAGACCCACCATTAACAAAGCCAAAAAGTTGGGCAGTAATTTTTAGCCCCAGTTTTAGGAGACTAGTATGTACACTGTTATTTCTAGAGCTATATCAAAACCCTCAGATTATGACATAATACACTTAACTGATTTTTCATTTCAGTGAATCGTATCCATATGTATGCCATGTAATACCTTGATAGTAATGAAATAATATATACTTGACAACATTGTGTCTTTCACTGTGATTGGTAGAAAGTTTATAAAGGTTGGGAATCACCATTTTAGAACTTGAGTCATGTTTTTATTTTCTCAGATGATATTTTAATGGAGATAATATTGGCAGTATTTTGAGATTTTATGTAAATTTGATGTAGGAACTTTATCATTCGTCTGAGGGGGGAAAACAATCACATTGCAATAAACAGATGCAAGAATGTTAACTTATTTTCTAAATACCCATTGTCGTGTTGCCATAATGAAAGAATTGGGGACACAAAAATAAATAATGACGGGATTCCTGTACTTCAGGAGATGGTGTCCAGCATTTATTATTCGCTGTGTGTCTGAAGAGCTGGGCGTGGAGCTAGGGACACGTCCCTTCCCCTTATGGTGTAGGGTGGAGAGAGGAGGGCACAAACAAAAATAGTCCAGTGGGAAGGTGGCAGCTTGTCTGCCGTGGATCAGGACGACAGAGGAAAAGAGCAGCTGTGACAGTATGTAACAGAAGGTACCTACGTAGTGTCTCAGAGAGGGGACCAGAGAAGGCTTCCTTAACAAGGTGATGCTTAGGTTGATCCCAAAAAGGTGAGTGAGGGATGGGGGCATCGCAGGTAAGGACCGTGAAGCCGGGAGGAGCTCGATGCATTTGCCGGCCACGAGGGTGGGCGAGCCCGTTAATGTCCTCCAGGACTGCATTCCACTCTCGAAATGCTGGCGGAGTTCCTTAGGAGAAAAGAAACTGGAGCTGTGCTTTCAAAACGAAAACCCATTTTTTGCTTTTTTGCGAACTACACGTAGTACAAATTTGCATGGGCTTGGGCCAGAGAAAATGCCACGGGACTGGGCACGTTGCTCCCGCTCGTAGGGCTGTGGCGAAATTTCATGCTAGGTGTGCAGCTGACGTGACTCAGGCACCCTTCCGATCTTCCCCTTCCTTCGTACCGGGGAGGGTCTGCTCTCCGCCCTTGGTCCGGTGTCCTGGGTGTTGAGCCCCTGTAGGCGCACGTGGCCAGATGGGACTCAGCTGCCCACGGAGGCCAGGCAGTTCGCAGGTCTAAGGCGGAAGGTGCCCTGTTCACGTCTCAGTTGTGGGCGGAAGAGCCAGTGCTCATCAGGACACCGGACCCCAGACTGCTTACTGGGAAGGGGGGGAGATCCGACTTAGATGTTTGTAGTTTCTCACAAGCGCTTTGTCACACTGCTCACTGCGGCAGCAGCCCCCACGCCATGGGGTCACGGCCCAAAACTGGGCTCTGATTCAGGAGAGAGAATGCCGTTTCTGTGGGACGTTGCTAGAGAGACCATGCCTTCTGGCACCGTCCTGCTCAGTTCCTCTGCTCGGTCCACGATCCCCAGTGTCGTCACGGGTTCGTTCCCGGTTCGCAGAGATCACGTCTCGAAGGGCTGTCCTCACTGCTGAAAGCACGCCTCTCACAGATAGTGACTGATCCCAAATGCGCGTTCTCGGTGTCGTGGTGTTCAGGGGTTTCCCCTTACTCGGTGCTTCACTAACCCTTTCTGCGGGTCCGCTTCCATCCTAACATTAAAAGGTCCACTTTTTACATCTTTTCTTTTTAAGCAGAACGTAACGTGACTATAAAGGGTTCCAGGAAGCAGTAGAGAGGGATAAAAAGGACCAGGTTTGGGCCCTGGCTACGTGCCTGTCTTTCTGAGCTCAGAGATTTTCTTAAGTTAAAACCGGGTCCAGCCAGGGCTAGCCCACCTTGCCACGGTCACGTAGATGTCACGGAGCCGAGTGCGTGGCAGCGCCCTGAGAGAGCGCGCCACTCAGCTCATGGCCACACGCGCCTCCGCCACCGCGCTCGGTCTTGTGTTTCAGAACCCGGCTACTGCCCGGTGAGGCTGGGCATGGCGACCGGAAGGCTGCAGTCCGGAGTGAACTCGCTGCAGGGCTTCAAGGAGGACAAGAGGAACAGAGTGACTCCAGGTGAGGCGCCCACGGAGTGCTCGTGTTTCTCCTCGCGACTGAAGGAAGGGAAGCGATTACCATCTATTGTTTTATTCACTGACGCTTGGCGGTGTGTTTGCAAGTTTAATTAGGTTTTTTATTAACTTAAAAAGAAACCGAAAGATGGGGTGTTAGTATTCAAAATGAGTTTCCTTCTCTTTTTCCCTCTCTCCCCGCTTTGTGGGGAAAAAATTCACTCGAGTCATGACTTTGACAAGTGCCTGGGGGAAGAAGTCTGCCTTAGCCTGTGTGCCAGTCAGTGGAGCGGCGAGGTTAGAAGGGAGGTGTCTCCTAAGGCAAAGCGCAGACCGGCGCGCAGGACGCAGGAGAGTATCGCGTGTCGTTTTCACCAACAGTGTTATACTTGAACTACGGGCCCTACAGTTCTTACGCGCCGCATTACGACTCCACGTTTGCAAACATCAGCAAGGACGACTCTGACTTAATCTATTCAACCTATGGCGAAGACCCTGACCCGCCGAGCGATTTCAGGTGAGTCACCAGTTCGTCCGTAATGCCACGTGCGACATTTTTCTGAAATATCGGTGTACACGTGTGTATCCAAAGGGTGGGGTCCAAACTCGGGGTATGTCTTGGAGGGTCTTGGCGCTTATGCGAGTCAGGAGGTGAATCGGATCACCTTGGGGAGGAAGTGGATCGGAGGAGCAGGGGGCCCCACAGACCGAGCCCGGGGTTGCGGGGTCGGGGGACCTTCATCGCCGAGATCTTATGTTTAACTGTTTCCCCGGAAGCATTTCGTTTCACCGTATTCTTGGTACTGTTTCCTTCTCTCCTGAAGATAAACTTGTCATTGGTAAATATGTAAATACAGTGTCGTACCAAGATAGAACATTTTACATCGTGGTGTATAAATTAAGGGCATCTAATAAAAACGGTTGTACAACAGGAAGATTAAGCCAGTGGAGAATATTTATATAGAAATGACTTTGCCCACACTCTCTCTTTCAGCATCCATGAGTTTTTAGCCACGTGCCAAGATTACCCATACGTCATGGCAGATAGTTTGCTGGATGTTTTAACCAAAGGAGGGCATTCTAGAACCCTGCAAGAGTCAGAGATGGTAAGACTGCTTCTGGAAAAAAAAAACCAGGATAACTTCTTATTGGCTCTCGAGCATTAGTCACTCGGTGTTATGAAACCATGGGATTAACCAGCATGACAGCTGAAGTCCATTCCCCTGAAAAGACAGCCCAGCCCGGGTGGAGACCATGGGTGGAGGACAATGAACGGAAACGAGTAATGCGGGCACCGGGGTCTGTGCGGGCCGGAGGATTGTCATCATCTCCTAATCTTGGGAAAATAGGAATCAAAAATGGGGTTTGCAGCTCAGAATTCGGCTGGTGATCCGTATCCAACAGAAAGGGCGCGCCTCGCTCCTGGCTTGAAACCGAGTTGAGTAAAATGAGAGGAAATGTCCCTTTCTTTATCGCTCAGCAATACCAGTGGTGGAGCCTCGAGAAAGGAGAAGCCTCCTCGTTGCTGTCTTCTGTCCGTGCTCGCGCGCTCTCCCCACTTCCGTGGGACGTGGCTCACGTCCGGAATAATTTAGAGACTGTGTTCAGGGATTAGAATCAAAAAACGTTCCTTCTGATGGAAAAGAAAGTTGACCTCCAGAATGTCCTTGCAGCCCTGGCCAGAGGAGTCCTGTCTCTCTTGGGAGTCATAACTTCCTGGTGTCTGTGACCATAGTTGCCTTGTCCCTTGCCCTCTATACCTACGGTGGCCGGTATTCAGGTGACCTAGCAGCAAAGTCGAGTCGGCGCCTAAGGTTGAAAGAGCTCCCGTCGTCTTAACACAGGAATTGCTTTCTTCACGTGGCCTAAAAATATTATTTTATATCAATTCAGAAATGTTTTTACTATGCCTTTCCCATCACTTAATCTGAGTTAAGTCTTGAACTAAAATTGAACAGCTTTCATTTGGTTGATATGGCAATATATTTCAAATTTAGTTTCTGTGCCCTTTGATTCAGCGGTTCTCAGAATTTATCCTAGAAATGAGAAAAGTTATATATGGATACATGGTTTATAATTTTTAAAAATTGGGACTGTTAAGTCACGATTCTCCCTTTCAAAAAAAGATACCAAGCGTGCGTGATACATTCGTTTATGTGTGTGCATTATCTCGAGGGCTAGGACTAGAAGAGGCTTGCACCTTCTCTAACGTTTGAATGTTCACAGTAATTGTCTGCTGTCTGAGAACATTGTACTCCTGTTTACCTGTTGTTGAAAACAGACTGCATTTATTTTGGAAATTATTCCGCTTGCCAAATACCTTCTTAAACACATGTAGCTTTTTGATGAGGCATAGGATTATCCACCTTGAAGTCACTAGTAGTAGATATCCTTGACTCACAAGATAATCTCAAAATGCTTGTAATGATATGTAATTCATTTTGAGTTTTAAAAACTTCCAGTAATCCATATTTTTATTTTCTCTTGCTATGAAACTTGCTATTTTTCTATTTACTTTATCTTTGCCTTTTTATATATCTTTTAATAAAAAATGTTTTTTTATCCTTACAGCCATCACCTGAAGATGAAGGCCAGACTAGGACACTTGACACAGCAAAAGAAATAGAGGTGATTTTTTTTTTTTCTGAAAGTATTTAAATGGAGAATAAGCTAAAAGACCTAAATGATACAGCTTTATTTTAAAAGAAAAATACTTGAGTACTTCCTGAGATGAAAGGACTGGTTTTGCCTGTGGGGTGCGTAGTTGTAGCTCATGGGGCAGACAAGCGTGCAGACAAGGGGGCGTGAACCAGTTAGCTCAGAGTGACGATGCGTGGGCACGTGGGAATGCAGGTTGGAGAACTCAGTGCTTGGGGTGACTGAGGGTACCCTCACAGAGGGGCTGCTGGAAGGATGAAGAGGCGTTCTCCCAGTTCTAAAGTGGGCAGGACTACAAGTGCCATGGCCTAGAGCTGACAGAGTGCCCAGAAAGTGGATGACCACAGATACCTGGGGAACAGGACCAAATGTTGAATCTTATTGCAGTGCCAAGAAGTTGCGATTTTATCCCAGAAGACAGGACCTTATGCTAAAACATATAGGAGAAAGAGAGACTGGAGAGGAGGGACGGGTGAAAAGCTGTGGGACTCGACTACGCAAAAGAAAAATAAAACAAACCGGCCTAACAATAAGAGGAGGAACACGGCAGAGCTAAAATTGACAGGACCTGGCACATGAGGGAGATGATCGTACTAGCTCACGGTGGAAATCCAGGAAAAGGAGCAGGGCTTTGGCAAGGAAAGAAATTGCATTTGGTTGCAGGTGTGTAGGAGTGGTTAGGGACATCGTGGGAGTTGTATGTCTCTGGTGCTCCAAGGTCCAGGCTGTGAGTCTGGAAGTTGTCAGGTGAAGGCAGAGGTTCATGTTCGTCGGTAAAGCAATGAGACTGTCCAGAGAGAACACGTAGTCTGGGAAGCGTTGAAGGACAGAACCTTGGAGAACACGAGTAGTTAAAGTGGGAAACCGTGGGAGGAGGATACGCAGGAAGGACTTCAGCAGTGGCAGGTGCTACAGAGACAGGTGAGTGTCATTTGTCATCATAGCGCAATTTCAGTAAAAGGATAGGGAGGAAAGGTAGGCACTTCAGTGAGTGAGGATCTGAGGGATGAGAGGAACACCCGAAGGTGTGAGATGGAGTAAAGAGACGTGGGCTTCTCCGCCACACAGTTTGGCCCACGTGGCGGGAGAGGAGTCGGGGTCCAGCCAGATCGAGCTGGGAGTGCACCGTGCCGGGGTGCAGGCAGAGCCGGCGGCTTCCAGGGAGCCATCCTCTGGGCTCATCTTTTCCTAAAAAGCAGTGTTGAGGTTATGGAAACTCTGAGTCTTACGATTCCAAAAATGAAAGTCCACCCTTTTTCAGATGTTGTTCCTCCCATGTGATACTGACAGCCTGGCTTTGGGCCTGGGGGAGACCCAGGAAGTATCTTATGTACAAGACCTACTAAGGGACACAAGTGACTGGGCGGGGGGCTGACATCGCCCATAAGCCTCGGCAGCACGAGACCTGGTCGTAATCACCAAAAGCTCTTTACAGTGTGGCCAGTCATCAGGCTCTCGGCCCTTTCATCTTTAGAGTTGTTGCCTCGCGAAACAGATGATGCTGATTACATAAGACACGTCCTAGATTACAGAGAACTGTGGATTTATGGACACTTTTTTTGGCCAGGATTTAGGAATGGCATTTTAAAAGTATTCTGGGAGGACATTTTTAATAAGCATCAGACTTAAAACTCCAAAGTAAATAGGGGGGGATAACTCGGCCTGTAAACACAAGCTCTTACTCATTTCTCATGCTGCCGCTGTCGGGGTTTAGCACGCCGAGGTCGTTCTTGCCCCTTTTTGGAAGCAGATGACAGAAGCGGAGCCAGTGGGGCAGTTGGACTCCCGGACTCGGGACAGGCTCACGGCCCTGGAAGCGGTAGCAAACTTTGGTGCTCCGGCTGAAGTTTTTGACTCTGAGGGTGAGTACCTCCGGAAGACTCGATGGAAGCACTGCGTGACACAGGCGGTCAGGACAGTGTCACGTGAGTACAGGTTAGCAGCCATTCTCCATGGGAAAATCCGGGCGGGCCACGCTTCAGGGAGCGGTTAAGCATGTCTGTGGCGTGGATGTCACATGAGGGGGTTACTGCTTTGAGAAGACTAACTGATAAACAGCAAAGCCTCGGTTTACCGGCCACGATCCAGCACCGGTCGTGTCTGTGTTCTCTAGTGTGCGCTTTTGTCTCACCACAGAAGCTGAAGTGTTCCAGAGGAAACTCGACGAGACCACCAGGCTGCTCAGGGAGCTCCAGGAAGCGCAGAACGAGCGGCTGAGCACCAGACCCCCACCCAACATGGTCTGCCTGCTGGGGCCCTCGTACAGGGAGATGCATCTCGGTGCGTGGCAGCCCCGCCTGCAGGGAGCTTGCGTCGTGACAGCACCCCAAAGCAGCACTGGAATGACGCTGGTGGACAGCTTTTCACTTTTAAATAGTCTTGATTTTTTAATACCTAGAACTTTTTTTTCCCCCTTTCTAGCTGAACAAGTGACCAATAATCTCAAAGAACTTGCCCAGCAAGTAACTCCAGGAGACATCGTAAGCATGTATGGAGTTCGAAAGGCAATGGGGATTTCCATCCCCTCCCCCATCGTAGACAGCAGCTTGGTAGACTTAACAGAAGGTACGAGCCCTGTGTCTCTGGGGGGGGCGTCTCTGGGGGACGGGATGTCAGTCCTCGCCCTTCAAGTAACATGGGGAAGGTTTTGCCTCCCTGTGTTAACATGTAAAGTTAGTTTTCTTTCCATTTTGTCTAAAGAGTAAAAGGTCCACACCTTTGCGATAAAAGCTACAGTAACCTAGTGCACCTGGTCTTTAGCCGTGCTGTGCGTGTGTTCCAGAAGGACTGGCACGGGTAGTTCTACTGGGTGCCACCTTTCCCTTCACGTTTTTGGGTTTATTTCATTAAAAGGGAAGAAATGCTGAATGCAGTGGTATTTCTTTCAGATTTTGAAGTACCTCAAAAGACTGATGCTGCTGAATGTGGACCTCATGGGATTTGAAGCTCACTGGTATTTGAGTATATATTGTGTATATATTTTTTTCATGCTTAACTTGGAAATGCTTTTCAGAAGATATTAAATATTTGTAAATTGTGTTTTTAATTAAACTTTGGAACGATTACTTTTAATGTTCCAGAAACTGGACTTCTGTTAGGTAATAAAGCTGAACCTGGGACTGTGAGCTGGATTGTGCCTATCAGCTAAGTGACCCCTTAACCTTTTCCTGGACTGAATCAGAAGTGATAAAAGTTCACAGCCATCCATTAAGAGAAGCAAGTCTTCCAAATAATTGAAAAATCCCTTAGTTTTTCCACATGTGCCACACTCCCCATTAAAAAAAAATCCCCAAATAGTTCCTAACTTACCAGATTTGATCTTGATGATTGATTCAAAAAGTAGCCCCTGCGAGGGAGGAACGTGGCTGTGCTCTGGAGCCATCCTGAGCTTTAGAAAGCAGAAGCGGAGCGGACCGGGGCAAAGTCCCTCAGAGCAGCGATGACGCTGCCGCCACCTCGCAGTAGTCAGTCATTAAACAGGAGGTCTACTTTAGCTAAGTTCCTGAAGACCAGAGAAGACATCGACAGGCCAGGCATTTTAGAAATCACGCAGGTTTTCCAAACTGTTAATTTAATATATGAAAAGCTAAACAAAGTAGAGACACTGGTACTTTATAAAAGTGACATATAACGTTTGAAACCGACGCTAGAGAGCGACAAAGACTCGGCACACAGGGTGAGCCCTGGTCGTTTGCAGGCCCCTCCTCCAAGCCCGCTGCTGTGCGCCCACCCATGGTGAGCACCCCTGCGCCCTGGTCTCGGCCTCCCGTCAGGAAGCGTCTTAGCAGGTGAACCAGACCACCACAGCCATGATTGCACTCGAGTCAGTGAGACCGGCTGCGTAGAACCTTGTAAGTGAATTCTGGACCATAGAGAAGGTTGGTGTTAGAAAAAACATGTGTCCTGTCATAAAACAGAGTGGCCCCTGTGAAGAAATGACTTGGTTACTAGAAGACAGTTATAAAAAAATAACTGCAAGTGGTTTTTCGGGTCAGTTTACAAACTACAGTCTGAACATCGAACACTAAAAACCGCACGGTTATCTGAGCACAGTGCTTCGACAGGAAATAAAACTACATGAGTGGTAACCAGTTAATCCTTAAACTCCCGACTGGGATTTTCATTGCTAGGAGAAAAAAAAATGACTTGAATCCTGCAAGAGTGGGAATCCGCCCGGCACAGAGGCACCCGCCACGTGCCTGCGCCGCGTGAGCGACGGGCCCGGCTTCCCTGGGCGGCCCCGCCGGTGTGCGTGGACTCCAGGACCACGCTCCCCCGAAGCCAGCCCTTCACGTGAAGAGCCAGAGTGTGCAAACGGCAGTTAAGTGAGGCCTGTTTCCCTTACCGGTGTTTCTGCCATAAAATGTGTTCGTACAGCAAGTTCTTAGAATTCATTCATACTGTTCCAGTTACACACAACCCATCAGAGGCGCCACTAGCCCTCCCAGCCCCTTAGGATAGAATAAGCCCCACAACAAGAGACGGCACGGGTGAACAGCAGGGTTGCTGTCAGGCCGCACCCCACCCCGGCGGCGCACACCGCACCAGCAGCCACGACGGCCCCTCGCCCCAGCCCCTTGGTCCCAGGCAGACCTGGATGCCGGTCACCCTGGCTGAAGCCCCCCTCATTTCAGGGGGCTCAAGGATCCCTGCTACTTAGCGACACTCGCCTGTTAGAAGCCTGGGGAAGGCTCTGGTGAGGATGCCGCGGGGCGGGGCGGAGCACGGAGTGGACAGTTTGGTCCCGTCCCTCCTCGGAACCCAGGCTCGCGTCTCTGGATTTTTTCGGAGTCGAAGCTGGGAGACAGACCCGGCGTTGCACTTGCCTTGATGCGTTCTGTGCAGCCCAGTGACATCTCAGCGTCTGTGAGAGGGCCGGCTTCCCGGGCAGGGAGCCTGCACACGTGCTTAGCTGAGCACACCCTTCTGTTTCGGACGCTCTGCAGAGTCAGCTATGAGGACTGGAGAAAAGGAGTACCAGAGGCCACCTAAGTCCCGTCCACACTCCATTCCTTCTCTTCCGGTATGGAAACGACGCGGGGTCGAAGTCTGCAGGGGCGACCTCGAGAATGCACAAGGAGCCGGGGGGCGCTGGTGGTGGCTGCACCTTCATTCCTAGGCTTTTCACTTAGGGAGCCCAACCTCAAAATGCAGGCACCAAGGCGTCCGATTCAGAGCCACATCCCACAGAGCTCCATCCCCACAGCAAGCCGGCACCGGACAGTGGCCCCGCTTGCGTGCCAGTGGTTAAAAAGGCAAGGACACTAGAGGGAAGAGATTCGTCTAGTGTCTTAAATCATTAAAAAAGACAAAACCTCCATTAATAGCGTGTCCATTTAAAACAAACGCATGCCAGAGATGGCAAGAAGTAACAAGTGTCCTCTCCGGATGGTTCTCCCTACTGTTAGAAACCTTTTCGAGATTTGGAACCCAACTCTGCCTGGTCCACTGGGGTCGACAACTTGTCTCTCAGTCCTGTACCTTGAAAAGACAGGTCTCGTGTGCAGCTCACGGGCCCTGAGGGGTGTTAGGTCACACTCCAAGACCACAGCACCCAGGCGGCCAGGGGCCCGAAACGCCGAGTGCGCCCTTCCCTGCCGTGCGGAGGCTTGGGCATGGGGTTCCGGGGGCCCGGGCGTGGGCAGACTCCGGTCACCTCGACCCCAGGTCCAGTGCACGCATCCGAGAAATCCTCACACCTGAGGAAGCCACTGTCAGGAGGTGGCGGTGGCCAAAGCCTGGGCTGCCTCCGTGGCTGGCGCGGGGCCGTCTTCCCGCCGGCTTCCGGCGCGTTCTGCCACACCAGCAGCCTCAGTTCAGCCCCAGCCCCTGAAACTTGCCAGTGTCTGTGCAGACAAAGTAGGTCCTCAGTTCACCTTTGCCCTTGACGTTGATCAGCCCACGGCACTCGCAAGAATAACCCAGTCCCTGGAGGATGGCGCACGTCTCTTCCGTCACCTGCAAAGGAAAGGGGGCCGAAGTCTTAGAAGCAGGAAGAAAGCTGTGGGGCAGGGACGGGTGGAGGTCATCAGCGAGCCACATGCACGTCTGGTGGCCCTTGGGGGCGTTCGATGGCTGGATGGCCCCTCGCCCCTGCGAAGTCCTGTCCTCCGTGGTCACGGCGTGCCCAGGTGGGTTCTCACCTGGATTTTCCCGAGCTCTCCAGTGCTCTCCATTCGGCTGGCGACGTTGACCGTGTTTCCCCAGATGTCGTACTGAGGTTTCCGCGCCCCGATCACTCCCGCGATCACGGGCCCGTGGTTTATGCCTGAGGGCGACGTTCGTGGTTGGCAGAGCACAGGGGCAAAGCCTCGGGCCCCTGCCCCTGGGGAGGCCACGCGACCCACCCACGACCACAGGAAGCCCTGACAGCAGCGGAAGGGACATCTGGGGCGTGCCTCCCGAGGTCGGAGGCCGTGCCCGGGGTGTGGGAAAGGCTTCCCCAGTGTTCTCGGACTCTGCAGTGCTCCAGACGTCTGGGTGGCCTTCCCAGCGGCTCTGGAATCCCAGAGGGTACACGGCGTTAAGTGCTGACCCCTTCAGCGAGCAGTGACCACGTGAGCTAGTAACTTGGCTTTGTTCTCGCTGTAGTCGGCTGAGCTATTTACAACCAGTGATTTCGGGTTCTCCGTTTTCTTAAAACTTTGGAAGCTAATTCCCTGTGACATGCAAGGAAATAATTGCCCAAATCGCTGGGGTCCCGTGACGGTCAGAGAGGGATCTCTAGAACTTGCGACACAGAGGGCAAAAGCAGCCAGACCGAGCGCGGAGTGGGCGGCCAGGAGCCGGCAGAGCCCGCCCCACGCTCACCGACGCGGAGGCGGAAGGAGTTGAACGAGTGCCTGTTGATGCCGTCCAGCTTGCTCATCAGGGCGGTGCTGAACTCCACCGCGATGCCCACGTGCGCGTGCCGCCGCTCCCAGTCCTGCGGGACAGGGCGCGTTCACGTGGCCGTGGAGGGCACAAGCCCATCCTGCCTCAGCTGGGGGCGGAGGCCCCTGAGACCCTGACCCGCACCACGTGGGCTGAGACCCACGGGATGGCCCGGGAGGTGCCCGTTAAGGTGACAGGTCTGGGGACTGCTGTGTTGAATTTTGCCTCATGGGGATGGGACCTGAGGCCACCAGATCGGCTGAGTACCTGGTTCTCGTGCCCTGAGGGGACGCTGAGCCCCGCAGCTGCCATGTAGGTGCTGCCGATGGTCTTGATCTTCTCTACGCTGCTGAACTTGGGCTTCAACAGCAGCTGCAGGACAGAGGGAGGCAGGGGTGTAGCACATTGCTGCAGCCCTGCCCCCGATCCTGAGACCGTGTGGGGTCCCCCCAACTTCTGATGCAGACGTCCTTCCCACAGGGTCGCTGAGCTCCCAGCTGAGCACAAGGGGCTTCTCTCCCTGCGTCTCCTCCTGTCTGTCCCCTGACACCCCATCTCCCTCATCCCTTCCAATCGGGTCTGGTCTCGTGCTGGCTAAATCCGTGGCCCTGCGGTAGCATCTGCAGGGATGTCCGCTACTTGTCTCCACCTCCTAGTCAAGCGCAGACAAGGCAGGGCTCCCAGACAGGTGGACAGCGTGGCTGGGACTCAGGCTGGGACTCAGGCTGCTCTCGTGCCCTGAGGGGACGCTGAGCCCCGCAGCTGCCATGTAGGTGCTGCCGATGGTCTTGATCTTCTCTACGCTGCTGAACTTGGGCTTCAACAGCAGCTGCAGGACAGAGGGAGGCAGGGGTGTAGCACATTGCTGCAGCCAGCCCTGCCCCCGATCCTGAGACCGTGTGGGGTCCCCCCAACTTCTGATGCAGACGTCCTTCCCACAGGGTCGCTGAGCTCCCAGCTGAGCACAAGGGGCTTCTCTCCCTGCGTCTCCTCCTGTCTGTCCCCTGACACCCCATCTCCCTCATCCCTTCCAATCGGGTCTGGTCTCGTGCTGGCTAAATCCGTGGCCCTGCGGTAGCATCTGCAGGGATGTCCGCTACTTGTCTCCACCTCCTAATCAAGCGCAGACAAGGCAGGGCTCCCAGAGAGGTGGACAGCGTGGCTGGGACTCAGGCTGGGACTCAGGCTGCCCTACGGGGACCCAATCTCATCGTGGCCACCCGCCCGTCAGGGAAGACTCGTGAACAGAGCAACGAAGAGGGCAAATCTGGACGTTTTCTAACCAGTGCAGAGTTTATGCCCCCTCCACGGGAGCCATGGCGTATGACATCAGGTGTGGGGCGCCCCGCGCCCTCTCCCGCCCCCCGCCCTGCCCCAGAAGCCGGGGTGGGGGTGGGCCAGACCTCGTCAAAGTCAGCAATGATCTCGTTGAGCAGGCGCAGGCACTCCAGCCCCTCCTTGTTGACGTCGCACTCCGTGTAGAAGACCTTGAAGTCCGGCACGGACGCGAACATGACAGAGACACAGTCGTAGGACTGATGGTACCAGTCCTGGGGGCGGGGAAAAGCGGGGCCTTGTGACCACCCGCCCGGCCTCGGGATGGGAAGCGGGCTTCAGGGGTCCACAGCCTGGCTGGCTGAAAACAGGGGATCCTGAACCCATCCGTCTGGGAGGACTAAGGGGCCTTTCGCTCTGAAATGCCCCGAGTCCTGAGGCTGAGAACCCCCGGGGAGAAGCCGCTGTCAGGAGCCGGCTCCCCAATCAGGCCTGTTCCTTCGCCATAACGCGGCAGCACGGAACTGGTGGAAACGCACGCGTTTTTATCTGGGTTACAGATGCCTGACGCAGCCAGATGGGCGCAGCCAGCCTGCCAGGCAGGTAGTGGTGGCCCCATCTCACGGATGGGAAACCGAGCCCCAGAGAAGCGAGGTTCGCGTCGCCCAGGTCTCTGGACCCAGGGCCTGTGTCCCACAGCTAATGGCACACATTGTCCCCGGGGCGCGTGGGGAAGCAAACTGGGAAAGCGGTTTGTAGTTAACAACCATCGCCGTGCAGGACGGCCCCCGGACCTTGCATCTCCCTCCCGCGAGTGGCCACGACACCTCATTTAACTTGTCGCCAATGAAGTGGGCGGCCACGTGGGCTGGCAGGACGTTCTCCAGAAGGAGGCGGTTCACGTTCTCCATGGTTTCGAACTCCTCTTGCTCCTTCTTGAACTTGTTCTTCCACAGACAGTCCAGGCGGCAGTAATAATCGATCTGCAGACAGAGGGACGTCAGGGTCCCGGGCTCAGCGCGGGCAGAGTGGCTGGGGGCCCACTCGTGGGCGATGCAGGGAGACAGGACCAGGGCTCCCCGAGGACACCCTGTCTTCTGCACTGCTCCCCCTGAGGCAGCCGGGCCCCACCTCGCTCCCTCTCCAAGTGGAGAACGGGGGGCTGCCCTGGGCTAGGGTGCGGGGGGCCTTCCCCAGCCTCACCTGTCTGGAGAGCAGGATGAGCGTGGTGTAAAACAGAACCAGGTAGAAGCAGATCGTGGTCTTCAGATCCCTCCATGAACAGACCGAGGGGCTGTGGGACACGAAGTGAGAAGGCGGGGGTCGTGCCCAGCCCCCGCCCAGCCCCCGCGCAGCCTCCAGACTCTCAGTGCTACCCCGGGAAGAGCCGCCAAGACGGAAGCCATCGCTGCCCCCAGCGCTCACGGTCTCGTGTGCACAGTACACAAGACCACCCCAGGTTGTAAAGAAAAGGGGGTGTAGGGTAGAGGTTGGCTGGGAGGTGGGGGAGGCCTCACTGAGGTGACATCCAAGCTCGCACGTGGAGGACAAGGACTAGCCGTGGCAAAGCGAAGCAAGAGGACCAGCAGAGGCAGCCAGGCTCCCGGGAGGGTCCAGGGCCGGGAGATCGGCAGGAGTTTGTGGGTACAGGCCAGACCCCCAGGAGTGGCTGTGTTCGGGGTGCCCACAGCCCAGCCTTAGTTCCAGGGGAGTCCAGCCCCTCTTCTCAATCTACGTGGGGCCCCAAACCCCAGAACCATGCACACACCAGCCCTTCGCATGCCACAGGGTCACCCGCCTGTCCAGGACCAGGCCAGAGACAACTGTTCTCTCCAGAACTTGAGGGATCAGGACATTGCTCAAAGCAGGGGGCTGGGCTGGAACTGAAGCCTCCCCTTCCCCACCCTTGGACTGGCCTAAAGACAGGACTGTCCCCCGGAGGACCGGCCCATGAGTCACGCTCAGCGCTGAGAGCTGCAGACCCGGGAGGGGAGCCCGTCACCCGCCTTCTGTCAAGTGGAAAGCACACAGCCCGCCCGCAGCTGTCCAGTCCAGACGGGCCGCGAGCCCGAAGCCCCTGGCTTTGAAAGGACCCCAACACAAAGCGAAGGGTCCACGATGGGCCACAGTCGAGACGGCCAGCAGGGCTGGGGCCCTGGCAGTGAGCTGCGCCCCACCTGAGGGTGTCGTTGGTCTTGGTGAGGTTGCCCAGGCTGTCACAGCAGTCCCACCGTGAGCACAGGGAGACATTGAAGAGCACCAGGTAGGCCACCAAGGCCACTGTCAACAGCACGACTTTCAGCTCCAGGCTCATCCGCAGGAAGACAGAACAGGCGACAAAGGCCAGGATGCAGCTGCAGGTGTAATACTGCAGAGACGGGGGTGCGGGTCACCCCACCATCTCCCATCTCCCATCTCCCAGAGACGCCTCCTGGACCAGCGGTCGACATTGAAGAGCACCAGGTAGGCCACCAAGGCCACTGTCAACAGCACGACTTTCAGCTCCAGGCTCATCCGCAGGAAGACAGAACAGGCGACAAAGGCCAGGATGCAGCTGCAGGTGTAATACTGCAGAGACGGGGGTGCGGGTCACCCCACCATCTCCCATCTCCCATGTCCCAGAGACGCCTCCTGGACCAGAGGGAGGGACGCCTTTAGCGCCTCGGGGACCCCGTGAGGAGCCAGTGTGTCTTCAGCATCACCCTCTAGCCTTCCTGACCCCTGAATAATAAGCAACGAGATCTCAAGCTTTGGAGCACTGGGTGTTTTTACTGCGATTTTACTTCCACTTATGGTCAGCGAACTCGTTTAAAGGAAAAAGCGTAATAAAAACAAACCTGCGAGACAAGGGTCAGGGCAGCAGCGGGCACGCGCCTGAGCGGCCGCCCTGCCTCAAGGTCAGCCCTGAGCTTGCCCTGCCCGGTGCCGCTCCGCCCTCCTCACTGTCCCGCTCAAGAACACGCTGTGGCTCCCCACTGCCCCAGAGCAAGACCCGGCCCCCGCCCCCTCCCCGTGAGGACGGCAGTGACACCTGCTCCCACTCCACACCCGTGCTTTTCTCCCGTTCCTTCCCCGCCCGCCCCATCCCATACCCTTTCTGCCCTCTCCAGAACAGCCCCCACCCCCTACCCAGCACCCACGCTCCACCAAGCTGGGTCAGAGCTCCTGCTGCCTTCGCCCCCCAGCTCCCCACCCCCTCCCGGGAGGACGGCAGTGACACCTGCTCCCACTCCACGCCCGTGCTTTCCTCCCGTTCCCTCCCTGCCCGCCCCATCCCACGCCCTTCCTGCCCTCTCCAGAACAGCTCAAAATCCACCGCCACCCCCTGAAGTCCCACAGCCTGTACCGCTGTCGGGCAGGGCGCTCCCGCACTGCTTCTGACCGCCTGCCTGGGGCCACATGGCAGGCAAACCAGCCAACCCCTCAGGCCTGCCACAGAGTGAGCGGTTAGGACACACAGGCCAGCACAGGGTGTCCCCCACACCCGGGCCAAGGGAGTCCCAGACCAAGGTCAACGCAGCCCCTGTGGCCTCTGCTTCCCCCACACTCCTGGGAGAGGCCGGGCTCGGCCCTTCCACACCGGGGGCTCAGGCCCTGGGCATCGGTGGCTTTTCATGTCCCCCACTGCTCAGGAGCGGCCACGTGCGGCCAGCCCACGCAACTG